TATGGTCTTCACTATTTTTAAGAGGAGTAATTTTTTCTGGTTGGTCTTGGTTCATGTTGGGTATATGAAGTGTTTTAGGTGGTTGTGGGAGAGGGGGTTGCTGGTATATAAAACTGTATAAAAGAGGGCTAATTAAGAGTTGAAATTGAAATTTAATATTTTTATGGTATATAGGTAAGTATAAAAACAATAAAATTATAATATAGGCAGGAATGAAAGTGATTGAAAGTGAAAAACTAAAAAAATCACTGCCAATCACTAGTAATTACAGCCACTTGGGTATATCTCCCTATACTTAATTGGTTTTAGTTATAATTTGTTTTTTGCCTTTGTCTATAATCAGTCTAAACTATATGAAAGAAAAAGAAGTTGAAAAGGACAAAACTGTCATCTGGCGATAAAGCATAAATTAGTCTGGTGTTTTGATGATTATGAAACCAATATTATTGGTATAGTTAACTGTTATCAGATAGGGAAATTTGATAAGCAGTAAGCAAAAACACTATTAATGGGTTATTTTACTTGGATGTAAACTTATTAAAACCAGCAAGAAACCAAAAACTTTATTTATTTATTCTTGCTCGATCCTTGCTCGGAATAATCGGAATAATAAATAAATATTACTCTACAAAAAATTAATTTCCGTTTTTGTCGAAAGAAAAATAGTCTCGACAATGTCTAAAATATTCAGTCAAAGGTTTTTGATTGAGTATATTTATTATTTTAACAACATTATCATTTAACTCTTCATCATTTCGAGATTGAGACTTTTCGGTTAAGTGTCTGACAGTGTTAAAGCACAGTTCAGCAGGGTTTATTTGAGGGGAATGAGAAGGTAAGTAGATAAGAATAATGTTTTTCTCTCTTGCCAACTCCTCAATACTTAAACTTAACTCCCTTAACTTCTTGCTAGTATAGTGAATTTTAGCATTGTCCAACAAGAGATAATGTTGTTCACCAGTGGGCAATTCAATACCTTTTAGAAAATTATAAAAATCTAGGGCATCAGTTCCTTTCCTTTTTTTGCCTTTCTCATTCTTAATCAATTTATGACTAACTACTGATTGCTTTTCTACATTTCTAACACAAAGGAAAAGAGTATAATTAAAACCTCTTTGTCCTGGTCGGGGAACAATTGCTCTTAAACCTCTTCGAGAATAAGCATAACGAGGCGCTTCTCCTAGATTGGTGCCAAACTCATCCATGGCTAAACAGTTGGATGAAGAGAAAATTTGATAGTTATCAACTAGGAACCTTCTAACCTTCTCTAAATTTTGCTCTAAATATCTTTTGCTTGCTCTTTTTCTAGTAACATCACTATCTCTTTTTAAAGTGTAGGAAATAACCTGCTGGCTATATCTACGACCTGTTTGCTTAAAAATATAGTCCGACATTTCTTGTTGGGTTTTAGTGTTGTAGTCAGGGTGATTAGCATAAGAAAGCAAAAGAATTAAATCATCTCCTTGAATTTTTCTTTTACGACCAACTTTTTTTAATGGTTGATTAACAAGTTCTCTTCAATACCTTATCGTTCGGTCGGTTCTTCTAAATCTAGTAGCAATCTCTTTTCAAGACATGCCTGATTTATGTAATTCATTAATGAATTCAATCAATTGAGGAAAGTTTAATTTTATTGGTCTCCTAGTAAATTTAGTATCTGCTACCTCATTGTCCTTATCAATTCTTTCCTCTAAATGAATTAATGACTTTTCTTCCTTTGGGTTAGCAACTTCTTGTTTAAAGTCTAAATAAAATTTATTCCCTTGGTTATCACTTTTAGTAAGTTTTAGTTTACCTACTAAATCAGGAATGTAATTTATTCTCTTATTGTAATAAAAATAATCTTCCTCACCTGTTTCAGCACTTAAAAAGGTATACTTCCAAAAGTTTTTATTTTGTTTTTCCTCCTTGGTAATTTTAGCAAGATACTCCACCACTGGCTATATATATTATTTTATTATATAAAATAAGGAGGTCTATATAACCTAGTGAACTTTACTTAAAGAATGAGCAGTTATTTTTTTGTAATCTTTCATACTTTGCTTGGATAATTCGTTGTATAAATGACTTTGAAGAAGATAATTTATTCTTTGTTCTTTTTCGACATCTGACTTTTCTACTTCCAAGCCTTTTACCACAAGATTAAATAAAGCAATCTTCTTCTCATAAGTAGTTCTATTGCTTTTTAAAATCTTTTTGATTTGCTCGGCTATTTGAAGTTCATTTAGTTCCTTTGTCATAATGCTTATATTGTCTGCTCTTATATTATAATTTTATCAACTTCAAAAATTATTAGGCATATTATATTAGTTATATGGAACAAAAACTAATCCCATATAGTAAAGTATAATATCCTCTAATAATTTTCAAAAACAGGTCAATTATTTTAAAAAATATAATATAATATAGTGGTGGTGAATGAAATTTCTTTTTAGAAGGCATTAGTTCTTTTATGGTGAAATTAGGAAAGTTTTGTGCTTATGCTAGTCTACTAATGGGAATTGCTTGTCTAGTGCTTTATTTTGTGGATGTTAAAATTGGTAAATCAGAGGAGCAAAAGGAAGAAAATAACGAATAAACAAAAAAATAATTAATACTATGTCCATTATAAAACCAAGAAAAATTCAAATGTATGCTGGTGAACCAGCAAAATATATGGGGAGTGGTGTTGATATTTCTGAATTTTGTGAACTTTATAAAGAAACTTATAAAGACTTAATCAAGAAAGAACAACAAGCCAGAATTAAGGCTGAAAATGATTTAGTCCAAGAACAAAACAAAGTCAAGCAGTTAGAAAACAATTGAAAAAAACAAAGAGAAGAATTAGAACAGCAATTATCAGATAAATCCCAACAATTAACTAATTCTTTACAATCGGTTAATGATTTACAAGAGCAAAATCAATCTCCCTTATTCAGTTAAATCAAGCCCAATTAAAGAAAATCAATCTCTTATTTGACCCCGAAGCCAAATATTTTACTGAACCCATTGATTTTAATGGCTTATATTCTCTATTAGAAAAGATTAAGCAAAAAGAGACTGAATTAACTACTCAATTAACTTCTCTCCAATCGGAAAAAAATTTATTTATGAATGAAAAAGCAGAAATTATTAAAGGATTGGAAGAGAAAATTAAAGAATTAGTTGAGAAAATTAATCAACTTCTTAAAGAAAAAGAAGATTATCAAAAGCAAGCCGAACAAGAAGAAAACCAAAGACAAAAAGAACAAGAGATGAAGGAGTTGGAGGCCGAGAAAAAGCAAAAAGAGTGAGAGCAAGCCAAGCAAGAGTTAGAAATGAGTATTGAAATTTTAATCATTGGGCAGGAAGAGTTAATTAAGGATAATGAGAGGTTGAAAGAGGAAGTAAATAAGTCTAAATTGGAAAAAGAAGTGGTAGTAGAAACCGAGAAAAAGGAGGAAGAAAAATGAGAAGAAGTTATGGAATATTTAGATAAAAAATATCTGAAAGAGTTTCGGGGGCATGTTAAGTTTTTGAGCATTTTTAATAAAAACTTAAAAGGTCATTTAGATTTAAGGGATTTTGTTAATTTGGAAGAGTTAGATTGTGAAAAAAATCAATTAACCAGTTTAGATTTAAGTAAATGTTTGAAATTGTTTGATTTTAAGTCTCATCATAACCCCCTAACCAAAATAATCTATCCGAACAATAACCCCCAAGAATGAGTTTGAAAAACCTGAACTAGAATTAGAAATGAATGTAAACCCAAAACATCAGGATTAGAAAAATTAATAGACACCTCCGACTTAGATAATTGAGTAAAGAATTACGATTGAAACAAATTTGGAGATATTGAGTATCATAAATTCTTGGGTAATAAAGCAGGGATATATGATAAAGAGTTAAACTATAAAGTTGATAGTTTTTTTGCTGGTGATTGATTTACCCATCTTGACCACACAGCCCTCGACAATCTCGGCAATAAAGTCATTGCCCGTAAATTAATTGTCCTTTCTCGCTTACTAAATAGTAAAGAGGATTTAGAGGCTGGTAAACTTAAACTATATGAGGAGAAAATGAATGAAATGGCTGAGGGTTGACAAATGTGTGGTGCCATGCTATCAGGAGGAAATTGAGCCGAATGAACCGAACAAGAAGAACGAGAATTAGTCAACCAAGCCTTAAAGGGAGACCTCCATATATTATTAAGTAAACTAACCGACCTCCCTTATCTCTCCCCCTGAGTAAAAGAACAATTAGCTCAAGCAGAGAGAGAGAGAGAGCCAAACCAACCCAAATAATCATCACCAAAACCCTGATGAAAAATAAAGAGTAATGAACAATGAACAACAAAAAAATCCTTTCATAGACAAGAACCCAAGTTATCGAGAAGATGAGTGAGCAAGAGCATTAAATAAACAACGCTATTTAAGTTGTTGTCAAATGCTCTCGGCTATGAAAGCCTATATTAATCTAAACCAAAAAGATTTAAGTGGAGAAGAAAAAAATGATTTTGTCGTTATAGTTATTGACTTTTGACTGCTCTTCAAAAAAAATTAGTTATTTGTAAAGAGTGTTTAAATTTTTATGATGAATTTGACAATTGATTAAGAGAAAAATTGAAAGAGAATAAATATTAATAAAAGAAGATTAATTACACTAAAATTATAAATATGGCAATTAACCCTAAAACAAGGTCTAATACTCATTCTCTTAAAAACAAATATTATTATGATAAGTTTGAACAAAAGGGAATGGAGTTATTCGAAGATTTACAAAGAAATCCCAACAACACAGTAGCCAAGGCAAAATTAGAGTTTATTGAAAATACTTTGAAAAAGGGGAATATGGAAACATGACCTACTATTTGACATGAGTGAGAAAAGAGTAATTTTTGTTGACCTATTGAACAAATAATTTCTGAAAAATTTAAAGATGAAAGTGGAAATTAATTTTTTGTAGAGTAATACATATGGTAAAAAGCCTTAAAAAAGCCCAACCAACCTCCAATAATACTATTTAAAATAGTATTTCGCATAATAAGACCCAGCCAAAATCTAAACAACAAATAGATAAAGAATATTACCAAAGGAATAAAAAAAAAAAAGAAAAGGTGAAAAAATAAACTCAATTTTGCTTATATTTTTACTACTTTATTTTCTTTCCCTAATTTACTAACCAACTCTTTTTCTGTTAACAATTCTTCTATTTTTTCTGCTTGATAATTAGATATTAATTTTAATTTTTTTTTCTTTAATTCTTCTTTTCCGACTACTAAATAATAAGGGATTTTTTTTTGATATACTTGGCGAATGCGATAATTGAGGGATTTTTC